TGCAGCGTTGCCCCTGATTGCTAAGGTATCCATTGGTACCTCCTCCTTCTCTGACCACTCCCCAGTCCACATGGGGGTGACTATAGGGGAAAACATCCGTTCTCCATTTACCTGGCGTTTAAATGACTCACTATTACAAGATGTAGAAGACCTTGCAGAGCTTAAGACGGAGTTAGCCAACTATTTTAGAGACAATGACGCCCCGACTCAGAATCCGCTCACCCTGTGGGAGGCACATAAGTGTGTAATAAGGGGATCCCTGATCAAGCTGGGGGCACATCGCAAACGCCAACGTATGCAGAGAATAGAGGAGCTATATGACCAGTTGAGGTCTGGAACTCCGACACAAGGCAGCCTTGGATAGGGAGACCTTAGGCTCCCTGACAAAAACCCGAGTGGAACTTAATCATCTGCTGTTGGACAGGGTGAAGGCCCAGTTAGTTAGGACGCGCCGTACGTTCTACAAATTCGGGAAACTCCACGCCACAGCCTTAAGGGACACGCGTTCGCGGACCTACATATGCTGCGTTCGTACCCAGGGGGGACAAACACTATCCAGATCGGCAGACATAGCACACCAATTCCACTCCTTCTTTACAGAACTGTACAACCTACCCCCCGCCACGGGTCAGACTGACCCTGATGCACAGATACAGACGATCAGAGCATACCTTGCGGACTCGGGCATGCCTCGTCTATCAGCGGCTGCGAGCCAAGCCCTGGAACATCCCATCTCTGTAATGGAGTTTGAGGAAGCCCTGAAAGCCATGAAGCCAGGTAAAGCCCCTGGTCCCGATGGTTTTACCCTCACATATTTCAAGACTTTCCGGGACCTCCTAGGTAGCCGTTTCACCGGGGCATTCAACTCCATCCTAAAGGGCAATCCGTTACCTGCCGATTCCCTCCGGGCTCAGATAACGCTCATTCCGAAAGAAGGCAAAGACCCCTCCCAATGTGCTAGTTATAGGCCCATTTAGCTGCTTAATGTCGACCTCAAGCTGTTTACTCGTATACTCGCCTCTCGCATGCTCCCCCTCCTGGAGGACCTCGTTGGACAGGACCAGGTGGGATTTGTCCCAGGTCGCAAGGCCCGGGACAACACCATCAGAACCCTGAATGTGATCCACATTGCCCGATCCACTTCACAGACCCTTCTTCTGCTGTCACTTGACGCGGAGAAGGCCTTTGACAGGGTGAATTGGGCATTCCTTAGAGAGGTTTTGGAATTTGTTGGGTTGGGGGTCGGCATGAGGCAGTGGATTGGAGCCCTGTATTCAAATCCAGTTGCAGTAGTACGGGTAAACGAAACCTTATCTGAGCCTTTCCACATATCGAATGGCACTCGCCAGGGCTGCCCTCTCTCCCCCCTCATTTTTATACTCACCCTGGAACCGCTCCTTAGGACCATCCAAGCCTCCCCGGACATTAGGGGGCTAGACTGCGGTGGCAGACAACACAAGGTTGCGGCGTATGCCGATGATCTGCTTCTTTATGTCTCGACCCCTGAGGTCACTCTACCCAATGTATTACAGGCCATGAAGGTATACGGCCAACTGACGGACTTTAAATTAAACTGGAGCAAATCGGAAGCGCAAAACGTCTCCCTCCCTGATGGCCGGGTTGCAACACTGAAGGCATCGTTCCGCTTTAGATGGGCAGACGCATGCATCAAGTACTTGGGTGTCTTCATACCCGCGGACATCCGTAAGACGTTTGCTCTAAACTTTATCCCGCTCCGAAAGCAGATTCTCACGGACTTAGCCTCTTGGGATAGACCCACGTTTACATGGCTGGGACGCAACAACATCTTAAAAATGACAGTCATGCCTCGATTGTTGTACCTCCTTCAGACGCTACCCGTGGTAATCCCGGTCACGTTTCTACGCCAGCTGCGATCCCGGTTCCTCGCCTTCCTATGGATGAACAAACGGGCCCGCCTAAGACATCAGCTCTTGTCCAGGACTAGGGAGGCGGGTGGCCAGGGTTTTCCTGACCCGGTGATGTACTACAAGGCGGCGCACCTATCCGTGGTAGTTGACTGGTGCTGCAACTTTCGTCATAAGCTATGGGTGACCCTAGAACAGCTGGAATGTGGGATACCCTTACAGAATGCCCCTTGGATCTATCCCAAGCTACCACTGACCCACTGGTCTAACCCCCTGGTCCGAGCCACAATGCAAGCAGTGAGCAGGGTGCTGCCCTTGCCAGGTATTTCCCCCAGCCATCGCCCCTCGTACCATTGACCGGGAACCCGCACTTTCCTCCGGGTCTGCACAACCCACTAAGCTTATAGCCTCAGCCCATACGAGGCTAAACCAGTTTCAAGAGTCGGGGCAGTGGATGTCTATATCCCAGATACAGGGAGTACATGACCCACCATTACGGACATGGAGCACATTGCAGATACCACTATCTGTGCACCTCGAAGGCGGGGACTTCCCCGCTGAGACGGCGAACAGACTTTGAAACAATATGCGAGCAGGCGGAACCAGCGAGACACACGCTATCCGTCCTAATGGACAGTCTCCGTAGCCCCCCGGACCTTCCTCCTCCTTACTTTGTCAGACAATGGGCCTCAGACCTAGGGATTGAATTTAGCCCAGCACAAGTGGACCGCATGCTACCCTTTGCACTGAAATCCTCCGTGGCTAATAGATACCAAGAAGCTGGCTACAAACTGCTGACCAGATGGTATAGAGTCCTTAAGGTGTTACACGCCATGTATCCCTCGGTCCCGGCGACATGCTGGCGGTGTGGGGAGGAGGAGGGTTCTCTGCTACATATCTTCTGGGAATGTTCCGGGGTTGCGTCCTTCTGGTCTCAAATCGCAGACCTGGTGTCGCAGATTACAGGCCTCTCAATACCGTTCACACCTGCGGTATACCTCCTTCACCTGGCTCCAGTCTCACGGAAAGCTTATAAGCGGTCTCTACTGATCCACATGCTCAATGCTGCTCGGGCCTGTGTTCCAGCCCTGTGGAGACAGACCCGACCACCGTCAGTGGGGATGTGGGTGAGTCGGATGGAGGAGATCAAATTGATAGAGTTCGTGGCAACCTGGGCGGGATGGTACCAATTTAGAGACTCCCCGGAATGTGCTCAGCTTAGTCGGGAATGACCCTCGGGCAATGTTAAGAGCGAGAGAGCGGGCGGCCCCTGGCTGGTGTCTCGAACCGAGCATTCTGTCACTTCTGTTGTGTTATGTGTTGTCTTGTGTCTATCTGGTCTTCTGTGTAGTCCTTAACTATCTTTGTATATGTGTCCTGAATAAATAAATATATATAAATATATATATCTACAGTATATATATATATAGACATGCAGGCCATGATAGCACAACTGACATCCTCCCTGCGTTCAGATCTGACAGAAGTCAAGGCAGGGGTTACCCAGCACGCCATCCGCATAGAGGCGTTAGAGGTGTCGGATCAGACATTGAAATCCCGTGTCTCCATCCTGGAGGATTCTCTCTCACAACAGAGGGCCCAGATGACTCAATTTCAGCTCCGACTGGAGGACTCTGAAAATCGTAACCGCCGCAACAACCTGCGGTTACGTGGGATCCCGGAGGCCACTGGAGGGGCAGATCTCAGAGCAGCAGTGGCCGCCATTTTCAATGGCCTACTAGATAAGCCCCCAACAGCTGAGATTGAACTCGACAGGGTGCATAGGACCCTTGGTCCGAGAGAGGCTGATCCCAACAGGCCCAGAGACGTCCTCTGTCGAGTGCATTTTTTCAATATCAAGGAGGAGATCCTGCGCAGAGCATGGAGGCAGGGCACAGTAGACATTGATGGAGCAGATGTCCAGATCCTCCCAGATGTATGCCCTCAAACGCTGTACCGCAGGCGTCTTCTTAAACCGCTCACCGACATTCTACAATCAGTCCCGGCGACATGCTGGCGGTGCGGGGAGGAGGAGGGATTTCTGCTACATATCTTCTGGGAATGTTCCGGGGTTGCGTCCTTCTGGTCTCAAATCGCAGACCTGGTGTCGCAGATTACAGGCCTCTCAATACCGTTCACACCTGCGGTATACCTCCTTCACCTGGCTCCAGTCTCACGGAAAGCTTATAAGCGGTCTCTACTGATCCACATGCTCAATGCTGCTCGGGCCTGTGTTCCAGCCCTGTGGAGACAGACCCGACCACCATCAGAGTCGGATGGAGGAGATCAGATTGATAGAGGATCTGACCTCCTCGATGCACGGGACCACGCACAAGTTCGTGGCGACCTGGGCGGGATGGTACCAATTTAGAGACTCTCCGGAATGTGCTCAGCTTAGTCGGGAATGACCCCCGGGCAATGTTAAGAGCGAGAGAGAGGGCGACCACTGGCTGGTGTCTCGAACCGAGCATTCTGTCACATCTGTTGTGTTATGTGTTGTCTTGTGTCTATCTGGTCTTCTGTGTAGTCCTTTAACTATCTTTGTATATGTGTCCTGAATATATATATAAAAAGTCTAAAGGGTGGTGGTTCGGAGTGATGGGCAGATACAAGATGTAAGATGGCTGAGACTGCACCAGCCCGGAAATGGCTAGGCTTGTTTGGTTGATTTTGTTTCTGTTAAGTACTTATGTGCAGCCCCTGGGCCAATGGATGTCTGTCTTCTGTATCATAACCTTGTGCTTATAAATAAAGAATGTTAAAAAAACCAGAGATGTACAAATCCCAGGAGCTCCGTGTGCTCCTTACAAATGACAGCTGCCTCCTAATTTTTGAATTTTTCTCTAGTGTAGTCTTGGAGCTCAAAAGTATCGGTACCGAGTACTGTACTTGGTATCTGTGCAATCCTAGTCACTATAGAAGCACTGAAAATGTTTTAGAAAATGGACTGGTCATCTGATTTGCACACAGTCAAGCATGTTTGAAACATGATTGTCAAGGCTTAAAATGTTTGAACATTTTGTATTATAAGGACAAAGTCTTAAAATTGCTTTTGAAAAAAGCCAGCAAACATTTTTTATTCCGTTTAAAGGATGGGAATGCATAATTACTCACTTTATGCAGCCATTATGTCTGTGACAGCGTGCAAGGGGTACTTTCACCACACATTTGGTGTAAACAACTAAGAGAGACCCCGACTCTTTATCAACTTCCAGACCAAGAATCCTCTGTTCATCTTTCTTGCCACATCTGGGTGGGATCACAATGAGAGAAATAAAACAATTATCCCTAGAAAATACATGGTTCAAGCCAAGTAGGCATTTTCAACATCCATACCTCTCTGCAGGATAAGTCTGTATCTCTTCAAGTAATGTACTCTTTTTAGAGTGGTCTACATCTGTTCCATCCACATTGGGATTAAGATGATATTTTAGGACAACTCCTGAGTTTGAGCCAAGAAATAGAATGGTTTCATTGCCAAATATTCCACAAGAAGTATCCATTGCTAGGTGTGTCAGTTGATCCCTGAGCAGTTAACAAAATATATTTGTTTCAAGAAGAATAGATGTACAGTTATAAAAATATAACGGCATGCATAATGTGTAAAAATATAACTGTCCTCCTCAATGCAGTTAAGTGTTGCACTGAAACTCTTGGATTTTTCCATATATTTTGGCAGCTGTGTACATTAACGTCTTTCCTTGACCACTCAAGAGTAAAAAAACATAACAAAAAAGAAGTTCCTTGGTTGCACTGGAGTTAATAACACATTTACATTTAATGTATTTTTTATTTATTTATTATTTTTATTAAATACACACATATTAACAGAAAATAACATCTAAAGTATACTACAGGACATATACCTACGTTTCAAATGTACTGTACAAACAAAAGTGAAAGGAACAGGAGTCCAAAAGTAAAAGTAAGTAAAAATAACAAAAATAAGTTCCTTTGTTACACTGGATTTAATCACACATTTACTTGTATTTTTTCATCATTAACCTCCCTGGCGGTATGATTATCTCAGTATTTTTTCTTTTTTTCTTTTTTTTACTTTTGAATTTACACCTAAACATACAGGTGTGAATTTGCTCCCCCGGTTCCCCGCCCCCCCCCCCCCCCCCCCTGCAATGCCGGTGCTCGCAGGGAAGGAACCCGGAAGACACCCGAGTGTGGCTTGAGGTTACCGCTTTTGGTACGGGAAAATTTACCCCCGAGCCACACTCGGGATTACCGCCAGGAAGGTTAAGAAAAGATTTTGACAGCTTGGTTACTGATATTTTCTTGTTGGAATGTTACAATATTTGCAAGTGTGATTTATTACAGATGCATAACTAGTACTGGTGTTAACCTCTTGCTGCGGGTAGCCTTACATTTACAGCTGCCCGCAGAAGTGGTTATACCAAGAACACGGCTGCTGCAGGCATGTTCTTGGTGTCATTTTAAAAAGCCAGCGATGTACAAGCGATCTGGCGTCTATACAGCTGTTGGATCGTTTGTCCTGATTGGCGGATCGTGTTGCCCCCACCCCATCTCTGCGACCACCTGCTTCCCAGGACTCCCCTGCCCCCATGTGCAGGCCTGGGAGCAGCACGGCAGGTCTACCCATAACAATAGGAGAGAGATCAGCAGGCTTCCAGCTGCTGATCTCTCCTATTACATCACTTCCAGTGTCACTGTTAACATTCTCTGGCTCTTAGAGCCAAGAGAAGAAGCTGGGGAAGCAGATCTCTACTTCCTCAGGATGTTTGGGGTTCCTAGGTGACATTAGGGGCCTGAAAGACCCCTGATGTCTCCATAAAGAGGACCTGTCACACGCTATCTGCTATTACATAGGGGCTTGTTATCCCATTATGTGATAGCAATATAGTTAGTGTAAAAAAAGTGTTTTCAAATAAAAAAATTAAAGTAACATTAAACAAATGGAATTTTTTTTAAAAAGTCTCCCTGCCCCCCATGAAAACACGCGTTGGTGCGCCTATGTGCAGAAACGAAAATTGTGCTACACATGTTACATATTGCTGTGAACGTCAGAGTGAGAGCAATAATTCTAGAGCCATTAATCACTGTTAGCACTAAACTGATGAGCAGTAAAACCTTTTAAAGTGTCCCCTATGGGAAATTTGGGGTATTGTAGTTTTTTGCGGCTTCAAGGGCGAAAGCAATTTTAAAGCTTGACATGTTTACCCAATGTGCCCCATCTTTAATATTTAACCAAAAAAGTGGGTATTATATTCTTTTTCTAGGCAGTAAATTTAATTTTAGTGTTTTTTAATCCTAAAAATACTGGTTTGATAAAAGATGCGCGCAAATACCGTGCAAAACATAACAAATTGCAACTAGCATTTTTTTCTTCTACAGGGCCTCTGCTTTTAGAAAATATATAATTATTTGGGAGTTTTAAGCTGTTTTCCAGCCAAAATTCAGATTTTATCATGTGTGTGCAAATCGTAAGTAATTGCTCCGGACAGCAAGTGGTTAAACCTAGTCTAAAGGGTGAAGGGGGTGGGTTTAGAGCTAAACACTCTTTTATGCTAATGTGGAGTCTGGTTTATTTCCTTTGGTATAGAATTTTTGTTTCATCTACTGCAACGAGTGTCCGGCTTCTTCAGTCAAACAAAGGTCCAGATTTATTGGAACATCTTCCAGAGCTTTACAGCTGGATGGAGTCGGTTGACTTCAAAGGTTAAAAAAGCTCTGTACAGATGGGGTCTGTAGTTGTTGAAAGTGTTTCATTTATTCTTTTTTTTTTAACAATCAGATTTTATTAGGTTTTCCAATACATGCAATACAGACAGAAAAAAAAAGCAGTGGGCAGCACGTTACATTTGTTAATAGATCCGATCAGCTACAATGCACTGATATTAAAAGGTCCCACATTCCATCAGGGACAGTCACATTCCTAAAGGAACAATATAATACATGACCCATGAATAAGTTTCAGGGGCCGTAATTGACAGTGGCGCCTATAAATTAAGCCTCGGGCCATTAGTGCAACAGTCGGAAAGGGAAACAAAAAGAAAACCTGTGTTGTTGTATCCCCTGGTATTAGGCAGTACTCGCACAAACATAGATTGAGGGGAAACCCACACGAACTACACAAAAAGACACGACAAAATAAGAAAAAGAAGAAAGGTCAAAATAGCAGATAGAAAAGAGAAAAAGAAAAAAGGGAAAGAAAAAAAAAAAGGAAGAAAAAAGAAAAAAAAAATCTCCTCAGATCCAACATCATCTATAATCCCAATTGCATGGCCAATAATCACATTAGAGACAGTTCATCAGACCATATTTTCTAAGCCGGATATCTAGCGACTTACAATGCAAGATATGCCGCAGAGTCCATATACAAAATCCAACGGGCCCATAGTGTTGCACATTGGGATTGACGCTCGCACAAGGAAGCCGTCAGTTCTTCATAGCGCCTAATCAAGCAGAGTTCAACAATTCACTCCCTCACGGTCGGGGGGACCACAGTATTCCAGTGGCGAGGGATAATCGTCCGGGCAGCGGCCACAAAGAAGTGAAGCAGGTCTTTCTTGACCAAGGCCAAGGAGCCAGGCAAGACCGACAACAAGGCTACCTTAGGGGATGGAGCCAGGGAAGTTCCCATGACTTGGTTATATATGTCAAAGACATGACACCAAAAGGGCAATAAGACCGAACAGCTCCACCAAATATGTGTGTGCCTTCTGCATTCAAACAGCGCCAGCAATGTGCTGGCCTATCGGGGAATATCCTGTGTAATAGGGCCGGGCATCGATACCAGCGAGTTAGAATTTTATATCCCTTTTCCTGAGCCAAACATGCAATGGAAAGCTTGTGAGTTAGTAGGAACGATGTGCGGACTTCCTCATCAGTAAGGGCAGAGCCCAGATCCCTCTCCCACCTGGATATAAACAGGGGGCGATCCAGAGATTTTGCCGAAATCAACTGACTGTATAGCAAAGAAATGGTATGAGAGGGAGCTTCATCGAGGCCACAAAGTGATTCGAACCACGAAAACGGGCGATGTAAAGGAGCCTGGCCCCCCAGTTCCCTATAGAATGCACAAAGTTGGAAATATAATAGCCAAGAGCCAGGTTTATGGGGCTGGTTTGCTAACAGAACATGCAAGGGTTTCAGGGCCGTCTCCGTAAGAGCCTCTATCATAGGCAACGGCTCTTTGGCCCGACCAATATAATCTAAATGTGCATATAAGGGACGATATCGCGTCAAATAATGGGGAAGACGTGGAAACCCTATGGCTGGAGCTAGATTTGGAGGCTTCCCCGCCCAGATGAACGTAGCAATGCGGACCGCAAATGCCGAAAAAAGGAGGCAGGCAAAGCCAGGGGCAGCGTTTGAAAGAGATACAGAAAGCGGGGAAGTATGTCCATTTTCAAGAGCGCAACCCTGCCCAACCAGGAGTGTCGGAGGGAGTTCCATTGTTGGAGACGTAAAATTGTAGAGTGAAGAAGTGGGGTATAGTTCAGGCGATAAAGATTGGTTTGTTCAGAGGATAGAAATATGCCAAGATATTTAACGGCAGTAGCTTGCCATTTGAGATGAAAGTGGTCCCGTAGTTGGTCAATTTCCGTTGAAGGAAGAGAGATATTTAGGGCTTCAGTTTTGTGTAGGTTTACTTTAAAGTTGCTGGCATATCCAAACCTACTAAATTCTTCCAGCAAGGAAGGTAGGCCAATACAGGGATTGGATAGATAAAGCAAGACATCGTCTGCATACAATCCAAGTTTATAATGATGACCCTGAATACAAATGCCCTGGATAGATTGGTTCATGCGGATAGCTATCGCAAGATGCTTCATCGCCAGAATGTACAAAAAAGGGAACAGTGGACAGCCTTGTCTAGTTCCATTTCTTATAAAGAAGGAAGGGGATAGAGAGCCATTGACTCGCACCCGGGCCGTAGGGCAATTATAAAGGGCCATAATCTTTTCCACAAACAGTTTCGGCAGGCCAATGTGTTCCAAGGTTAGAGCAAGGAAGGTCCAGTTCAAATGGTCAAATGCCTTCTCTGCATCAACAGACAGGAGGCATTGGGGGAGACCAGAGGACTTGGCATAGTGCATGAGAGTAAGCGTCTTGATTGTATTGTCTCTGGCTTCACGAAAGGGAACAAACCCCACCTGATCCATATGGATCAGGGATGGGGCATATTGACTCAGGCGATTCGCCAAGAGTTTCGCGTAGAGTTTAAGGTCCACATTAATAAGAGAAATCGGTCTGTAATTAGTGCAAAGAGTGAGGTCTTTATCAGCCTTGGGGATTACAGTTATATGTGCTTCTTGCGATTGCATGGGGAACGGGCAGTCGACGGATATGGAATTAAAGGTAGTTTGAAGTAAGTGAGTCAGTGGTTCCTGAAAATACTTGTAAAAGGCACCAGTAAATCCGTCCGGGCCTGGACTCTTCCCAGGGGGAAGCCCCCTAATAGCGTCAGAAATCTCCTCCATTGTAAAGGGGTCCCCAATAAGGGCAGTCACCTCAGGACAGAGAGTTGGCAGAGGAGTAGAGGCAATATA